AAAATAAATATTAAATTAAATGAATTGTAAATAAATTTTCAGTTAAATAAATTTTACATAAATATAATATAATATATATTTTTATTATTTGTTATATTTATAAAATTTCATACATCATATTTTTATGATTTTTTCTTTTTGCAAATTAAATATTAGATTTTATATAGATGCACATAAAAAATATATATTTCAATTTGATAAAAAAATGATATCAAATTTTATTATTTAATTAATTAATTACAAATATTATTTTGTAAATATATTTTAATACATTAAAAAGACAAAATCAAAATTATAGAACATGTAAATAAAAATCTAAATGCAATAAAGTTTTAATGTTTAAAATATAAATTATTTTATAATATCCCATATGGCATATTAAAAGTAAATCAATTTATTTTTTAAATATTTTTAATTTTTCTATTAAAAAGTGTAAAATTTAAATTATTTGTATGTAATATATAGTAAAAAGCATGATAAAAATAAATTAATCATGTTATTTAATGTGTTATATCAATGCATTAATATTTTATAATGTATTTGGAATTAATATATAAAACAAACTATATTTAAAATATATTTTTTGAATGATATTTCTATAATTTCTATAATATAACCATATCCTTCTTTGTTAAAAAAAGTATGATCATTATATAGTATTTCGTTTATATTAATAAAATGGAAGTCAAAGGTTATTAGCCTTAAGAAGCCTTAAAACATGTATTCTCATTGGTTAAACTCAAGGGTGTGTGTGCCTCCCATCTTGGATTTTTTACGTGTAAGTAGGCCAAAATAATTTACTTAGTACTATTAATAAACTACTATTTTCTAATGTATGCTTATATATAAATAAATAAAAATTAATTATCATAAAATTACCAAAATTAATAAAACTTCTTATGTCGCATGAAAAAAAATTTTATCATAAAAAATATTTCACGAAATAAGTCACAATTATAAATCTTCAAATATCTCAATGCACTTTTGCACTTTTGATTGTGCACTACCGCTGCATACTATGATTCCTTCATACGTAAGTAATACACTATTCACTCTGCTTTTAACTCCCTCTCTTAAATTCACAAGTGCATCAAACAACCAAGTTACCAACTTATTGGCTAAACCAAACTATAAAGTGCCAGATGCTTTATATTTATATGAACGTTGTTCAACCAGTTAAGAATATAAACAAACCTATATTATATTAAAATCTAGGGAAAAATATCATCATCAATTTTCAATTCTAAAATGTAAAATAAAGAAATCTATTTTTCTTTGTATTAAATTATGGAAAAATTATTCATTATCAATATATGAATTCCAAAAAAACAATTATAATTTTTATTATAATTTTTAAAAAAACTTCTAAGAAAAAAATTCATAAATAGAGTCTATTTTTATGAATTGAAATTTTATAAATAATTTTAATAATCACAATCTATTTTGAATTTAAACTACAATGAAAATAAATTTAGTAATAATATTCCAATTTTCAACTCGATTATCAACCAAATTACTAAAATTATTTACTAAATTAATAAATTATTACAGTTATGAACATAGTTTTTTGCAATTTTATAAAATGTTTGCTTATAATATATCGATAAATTACAAAATAATTATTACATATTATTACATATTACATATTATATATTATATAATTATAACAAAAATATTGTAAAATAGTTTAATATAATGAGCATTATAGTATTTTTTGTATTTATATTAATTATTTGACTTTTCTCTTTTAATAAAAATTAAAATCAAAATTTTCAAATTTTTATTTTTTATA